AATATATTTTCCCCTTTTTTTCTCGTGGTTAATGCCATTCCTTCTTTTTTTTTCTTTTTTTGCATTTTTCCTTTTTTTTCTTAATTATTCTCCTCTATCTTTTCTCTCTTAGTACCTTATCCCCAGATATTACAGGTTTTCTTGTTTTTTTTCTTCTTTTCTCCCTTTTTCCTTTTTTTGGTTACTGTTCCTATGTGATTACATGGTGTATTTTTTGTCCATGTGCTTTTAGTTTTTTGATGGTTTTTCAACTGTAATTTTTGTCTAACTGAGTGGGAGACAGCAACAGTCCCCATAAGATAGACCTACACCCACACCTCCTGCAAGTTCACTTACTGAGCAAGAGCCACCACCTCCTTCTCCACCAATGGGCCAATGATAAAAAAAACCACCAAGAATAGCCTGCAACACCCTTGTCTGCTCTTCACAAACAGTTAACAGAGATCTTAATACAATACCACAAACTCTCAGAGACAACAGACCATAACAGTCCACACAAAGAAGCAAGATAAAGTGATAGAAACAAGGAAACAGAATACAGACCCAGAACACATCCCTGAGGAAGACACAGCATTGGAACTCTATGATAAGGAATTCAAAAGAATGATATTTAGGTATCTTCAAAGGATTGAGAGACAAACCAAAGAAAACACAGAAAAAAACCTTAGAAGAATTTTGAAAGAAAATACAAGAACAAAAAGACAAAAATAAATGAAAAATTAGAAATGATTCTAAATCTACAGATAGAAATCCAGAAGACGAATACTAAATTGTCAGAAATAGATAACACATTGGAAGGACAAAGGGGTAGAATTGAAGCAGTGGAAGACAGAATTAATGAGATTGAAAACAAATACCTGAATACTTCTTTGGAAAGGATCAATCAGGAAAAAAATCAAAACAAAATGAAGAAGGCCTAAGGTTCATGTGGGACACCATTAAAAGGAATAATCTACATGTCATTGGAATTCCAGAACAGGAAGATAAAAATAAAGCCACTGAGAAAATTGTCCAAGATTTACTGGAGGAGAACTTCCCTGATATGATGAAAGATGAGAATATATCCATTCAGGAAGTCCAACAAACCCCAAACAGGATAGACCCCAAAAGAAAATCTCTGAGACATATCATCATCAAATTCACCAAAACCAAAGACAAAGAC